AGGGTTCCTTAGGTCAAGCCCCCGACTGTATGTGAGATTCCGATCTGGCCTTTTGTTGAGGAGAAACTTGAGCAGAGAGGCGATCGCCGATCTGGTCCCCGAGTCCACAAGATTCGACGGGATCTCGGTTCCGATCTGGCTTCCCGATCCGATGCTGGCTCCGATTGCCCTTCGGCCAGGAGATCGACCACAGGATAACATTTACCACGAAGTTGTTTTTATTTTGGTCGGACCTACAACAAGCACGGAGACTGCCCCGCAGATCTCGGAGCACCCGATGCATCTCTCATAGATTCGACGGGAAAATCAATTTAGGGGGTACTCCAGATTTCGTAATAAAAGGGAGGGGGTCTGGACCCTCCAAGACAAGCCATTTCAGACCTCCCCCGTGGGAGAACCCTCCAAAACATCGTCCCCAGACCCCCCAGGCCCTCCAAGATAGCCTGGAAGAGACCCCCCCCCGAAATGAGACCCCCCTCCCTTTATTACGAAATCTGGAGTAAGTCAATCGTGCTGCGCGCCGCCAATCGTCCAGCGGTCCGCATCTTCACGCTGGAGGCGATACCCTCCATGCGACGCGCCCTCCGCCGGCGACTGCGGGCCGCGGGCCTCCGGAACAGCTCGGGGTCCACGCCAGGGAGGGACAGGCTTGGGAAGGTTTCGGCCAGAGCCCCGAATCATCAGGGCTGGGGGCCTCCTCCTCCTCCTCCTCCTCCGCCTCCTTCTCCTCCTTCTCCGCCTCCTCCTCCGCCTCCTCCTCCTCCACCTCCTCCTCCTCCTCCTCCTCCTCCTCCTCCTCGGTCAGGGACAGCTGCAGATTCGTGCCTCGGGGGCCCACACTGGAGGTGCCCCGGACCGCAGCTATCCTGGACGTTCCGGGCGCCCAGCCCTTCCGAATCATCAGGGCCTGGAGCAGTCAGGGGTAGCTACATATTCGTGCCTCGGGGGCCCAAACCGGAGGCACCCCGGACCGCAGCTTTCCTGGCTAATGCCGGGCGTCCCATTCCGGGTTGCGCACAGGCAGCCCCTCCAGGTATAGTCCCGGCTGGCCTCAGCAGTCGAACCGCAAGAACTTGCAACCACATAGACTGTCAGAGCCCCGCCCGGCTTGCTTGGATGAGAGGTTCCCCTTGGCGCATTTCGCGTGCCATGGAGGAATTCTTGCGCCTGTCCACGAGATCCCCGCGGACCTTAGAGAAATTCTGTTTATGCAGCTTTCGTTATTCTAAGCATGATGGGCCTGTTTTCCACCACCACCATAGGTAGGAGAGGGAGAGGGTCCTCCTCCTCCACCTCCTCCTCCTTCCCCCCTCCAACTTATGGTGGTGGTGTTGGAAAACAGGCCCATCAAAGCAGGCCCCCCGTGTAGTCCCCAGAGCGGTCTCAAAGCCTCAAACCTTGGGGCGTGGAGCGCCCCAGGGGCGCTGCCAGAGGCGGCGCCCGGGTGTGGAGATCGCCCCGGACTACTCGGGGTGCCTGCTGCGGCCAGTCTTAAGTCGGGCGTGTCCCTCCACAGGAGGAATATTCAAAAATAGTAAGAAAATATTATGGGGACGATTTCTTTGACTATGTTTGACAATTCCTCTGGTACTTTGTTGACTACTCTTAATTTTCCGTCCAAGATCCGCCTGCAGGGGGACGTGCCCGACCTGATGCCAGCCGGGGTTACTTGCCTGGGGGGGGGTTGTCTCCGTGCAGCCCGAAGCCTTCCCACATAGGCTCGGGGGGGGGGGGGATGGCATCGACCCTCAATCGCCCATCCATCTTCCCTGCTGCCCAGGCAGGTGCGGTGTCGCTATCGGGGACCTGCCAGGCGCTGCACCGTCGACCTCAGGCCGCTGTCCCCTCCCTCCGGAGCCGGTCCCCCCGTGACGTTGCTCTCAGCATCGTCGTGCTGCCTTACGGGGCGTCGGACGCGCTCGTGAACGGCACGGCGCTAGGCGGCAGCCAGGCGCCGCCACGAAGAGAGCCCAGATCTCCGACACTGCCTTCGAAATATCGAATACTTATTCAGAAACACTTGATACTGGTGGACCCCCCAGATCCGCCCAGGCGCTGTCGCCTCGGCGCCGGCGGCATTTCCTGGGAAATTCTTGACGCTTCGCGCAACCCCACCAGCCCATCCAGAGACGATGCCCAGAGGAGTGGCCTCGATCAGGGAAGTGGGCAGCACACAGAGGACGGATCCCTCTTGGAGCTCTCTTTGGGCGCTCTTGGGGCCGTCTTCGGGCTCTCTTGGGCCTCTTGGAGCGGGGGCCTCTTGGCGGTCCTGGGGGCGTTTTGGGTGCCTCGAGGAGCCTCTTGGGGCCTCTCAGTGGTCTCTTGGGAGCCTCTCGGAGGCCTCTTTGGCGCCTCTCGGGGCCTCCTGGGCGCCTTTTGGGCCCTCTTGAGACACCATCGGGAGCCTTGGGAGCTCTCTTGAGGCCATCTTGGAGGAGATCGATCAAAAAAGATGGGGGTTCCAATTACAGCCCCCCCTCGGGAGCCCCAGAATCCGCCTCTTGGGCCCCTCTTGGGGCGCTCTTGGAGCGCTCTTGAGCGCTTTTTGGGTGGCCGTCTTGGGGCTCTCTTGGGCCTCCCTTTGGGCCCTCATGAGCCCTCTTAGAGCTGTCTTGGGGCCTCGGAAGGCCATCGGAAGCGAACAGTCGAGAAGGCAACACTCATTGATGTTCCTTAGGTTTTCGAAGGATGTGGGCTCCTTGGCGACCTCCTGGAGAGGTTTTCCGTGGCCACTTGGAGCCGTCTTGAAGTGGTCTTGGGGCCTCTAGGAGCATTTTTGGAGCCATCTTAGGCTATCCTGAGCCATCTTGGAGGTCATCTTGAGCTCTCTGAGGCCCTCTTGGGGCCGTCGAGGGCCGTCTTGGACGCTTCAGCGACTCGCGATCCGCCCTCTAGGTCCAGGGAAGGGGGCAGGGGGAGGGGTCAAGACCCCCCCTAGATAGCAAGCCGTCTAGCTCACTCCCACCCGCCCTCCCGACACAAGTAACACCCGAGCCTGAGCATGCTCAGCAGTCGTCTTTGGACGGACAGCTACTGGGAACCAAAACCGACCCCATGTGCGCGACGCTGGGGCGAGGTGCGCCACGCAAGCCTGGCGCGCCTCGCGCGCCAGGCACCCCTACGGCCCGAGCGTGCCAGGCAAGCCTGGTGCGCCAGATGCGCCACGTGCTCCGCGTGCGCCAGGTGTGCCGCAAACTCCAGCCGCGCTAGGTGCGCCACGTTCGGGGGACGTGCAGAGTGTGTCAGGTGCGCCTGCGCACGTGTCAGCACACATCGGGAAACATGTCGGCCCCCACCATCCTTGTCGGAAACCAATGCCCATCATTTTGCTTGTTTGGCTGTGCGCCAACACACCCGCCGTCCCTGTCAAAAACCACTTGACAGTGATCGCGGGGTGGCCGCTCATGATCTTGATTTAGCCGCGAGGTGCATGTTGAATATTTTTTTCTGGGAAGGGCGTAGGCCCAGGGTTCTCTTTTAGATGGTTTCTCCCCGGCCTCGACTTGCATAGGGCTGGCAAGTTTAATCTGCGATACATAGCGAGGTCGCGAAGGGCTGGCGAATTAAACAGTTGAGGATGATCTTAGCGACACGATGGTTTTTGAACTTCCGATCGATCAAATCTCAAGGTGATGTAAGCATTTTCGTTTGTTGCGGATGTCCCGAGCGAAACGTGTAGTTTGCATAATGTGTTGAGAATGTCTCGAGCGAAACGCTTGTTTCGTACAATGGAGCATTCCTCTCCTGGGGACCAGAATTCAGGGGATGTCTCTGGCGAAGTGCTTGTTTGCACGTGCCCAGGTCTTGAGGATGCCTCGAGCGAGACGCTTGGTTTCACGCTTCCAGGTTGCCCAGGCAGATGTCTAGCAGTCTAGCATCAGGATCTGTTGAGAATATCTCGAGCGAGACTCTTTTTTTCACGTGTTCAGGTTGGCCAGGCACATTCCTCGCATCAGGATTTGTTCAGGATGTCTCGAGAGAGACGCTTGTTTTCGCGTGTCCAGGTCGCCCAGACGGATGTCTAGCATGAAGATGTGTGTTCGGAGCGAAACGCTTGGTTTCACGTGTCCAGGTCGCCCAGGCGGATGTCTAACATGAGGACATGTTGAGGATGTCTCTCTCTCTCTCTCTCTCTCTCTCGAGAGAGAGAGAGAGAGAGAGAGAGAGAGAGAGAGAAAGAGAGAGAGAGAGAGAGAGTGTGTGTGTGTGTGGTTTGAAGTTTTTTGGCGAGGCGCTCAGGGGCACCGCATGCCCTCACAGTATTATTATGCATTGCGCGGTCCTATTCATAGTCGCCTCGTTTTGTGAATTGGTTGTTTTTTTCGCCAGGCTGATTTTGCAAACCTCCCGTGTGTTGGGTCTTCGTTTTGAATCCGCAGCGCCGCGCGTCGCCTTCTCTCCTCTCCTTCCCCCTCTCCTCCTTCCTCATCCTCATCATCATCTTTTCCCGCTTCGCATACCAGCAGACCCCTCACACGTTTCGTGGCCCTATAGGGAGCTCAACCGAAGGCCCCTGTGGCTGCGTTCGCATGCGGCACCGCCCTATTTTCGGCAGCCCCCTCACACGTTTCGTGGCCCCATAGGGAGCTCAACCGAAAGCCCCTAGTGGCTGCGTTCGCATGCGGTCCCGCCCAGTTTCAGCAAACCCCTCACACGTTCCGTGGCCCCATAGGGAGCTCCACCGACGGTCGCAGTGGCTGCGTTCGCATGCGCCCCCGCCCCATTTCGGCAGTCCCCTCACACGTTTCGTGGTCCCATCGGGAACTCCACCGAATGCCTTGGTGGCTGCGTTCGCATGCGGCGCCGCCACGTTTCGGCAGACCCTCACACGCTTCGTGGGGATTCTTACACGATGGGGTAAGAGAACATACCCGGCTGGATGCTCCCTCACATACTCTTTTTTACGCAGTCCGCTTTAATTTTTATCCTCGAGCCCTATCTCTGTCCCCTACCCCACGTTCACGTCCCCTCCCCGCGACGCCTTTCCCTCGCGCCGGCAGGCTGCGAAGGGTGCCCTGGAGCCGGTCGTCCTACGGGACCTCCGCGAGGTGCTGGACTTCGTGGCCTCCGGGGCCCGCATCGACGTCCTGCAGCTCAACTGCGAAGGAGACTCGAGGGCAGAGATCGAAGAAACCAGGGGTGCTCCTTAAGCAGGGTACCAGATGCCAAGACCTGGCCAAAGCCTTAGTAGCATCATTGAGTTTGCCCTTTTCGCCGAGGCCTCTTGGGGCGTCCTAGGTGCCTCTGGGGGCCTCTTGGAGCTTCTTGGGGCTTGGGGACATCTTTTGTGGGGGCCTCTTGGGACGACCTGGACACCTCTTGCGGCCGTCTTGGGGAACCGTTGGGAGCTCCCGGGGACATCTTGGGGCCTCAGATGAGATCGATTAAAGGAGGGGGGTTCTTACTTAGTGTGGTCAACACCTTGGTAACATCAGTGAGTTCGGCTTTCTCGCCGAGGCCTCTTAGGGCGTCTTGGGTGCCTCTGGGTGGCCCCTTGGGCCCCCCAAGACCCGGGCAGCTCGTGTGGCCGCCTTGGGGCACCCTTGGTGATCTCAGAAGAGATCTATCAAACGAGGGAGACTCCTTAATCAGGGTACCCCCAGGATGCCAAGACCTGGCCACCACCTTAGTAGCATCAGTGAGTTTGGCCTTTTCGCCGAGGCCTCTTAGGAGCCTCTTTGAGGTCTCTTGGAGTCTCACATATTTTGGAGCCTCTTTGAGGTCTCTTGGAGCCTCTTTGAGGTCTCTTGGGCGCCTCTGGGGGGCCTCTTGGGTGCCTCTGGGGGGCCTCTGGGAGCCTCTCTGAGGTCTCTTGGGCGCCTCTTGGGCACATCTTTTCACACCGCGGAGGCCTCCCGTGGCCTCCTGGGCACCTCCTCCTCCTCCTCCTCCTCCTCCTCCTCCTCCTCCTCCTCCTCCTCCTCCTCCCCCCTTGGGGCACCTTTGAGAGCCTCGGGGGACAGCTTGGGGCCATCTTAGAGGAGATCGATCAAAGGAGGGGAGTTCCTTACTCAGGGTCCGCCCCCTAAGAGGCCCAGATGTGGCCAGCACCCTCAGTTTAGCTTCCTCGCCGAGGCCATCTTGGACGCTCTATCCCCTCGCGAAACGCCCTGTCCAGGTCCAGGGGGAGGGGGAAGGGGGAGGGTTAATGCCCTTCCCGAAAGGGGAAGAAGGGGGGGTGGGAGAAGAAACGCTCTAAACCAATCACTCCCAGACGGCTGGTGGGATTCGGAGGCCCAAGGAACAGGTAGTTACACGTGTCCTAAATTGCCCCCTCCCGATTCAGCTCGGAGGCCCAAGGAACAGGTGGTCACACCTGTCCTGAAAAAGGCCCCTTCCCACGACGCAGACGCCTCTCGCTTCCAAATCCTCAAGTTCTAGACGCTTCGCGTGCCACCACGGGCCCATCCTGAAACGATGCCCAGACGAGTTTCCCTGAGGGAAGTGGAGTATAATGCAAGGAGGTAAAGGGTTGAGTAAGGCGTCGTACCCCAAGAGGGGGAGGATGAAGGAGGAAGCGAAGGCGGGGGAGGAGGAGGAGGAGGTGTTGGTGGAGGAGGAGGGCGGACGAATAATAATACGATACATACCAACACTAGCAATACGAATGGTAATCATCATAAGACGTTGAATCACAATACTACGAATACTACATATACTACTCATAATGCTAACAATGATTGTGATACTAGTAACCTTACTACTAGTAAGATCAATATGACGAACGAGAGGAAGCATGAACATCATGATACAACTAATGTTCCTACCAATAATAATAATACTAAGCGTAATAATCACACATCGTAAGACGAGGAGGAGAACGAGGAGGAGGGGAGGAGTAGAGGGAGGGGAGGGGGAGGGGGAGGAGGGACGAGGAAGAAGGACGAATAGGCGGATGAGGACGATGAGGAGGGGGAGGAGGACGAGGAGGAGGAAGAGGAGGAGGAGGAGGAGCAGGCGGAAGAGGAGGGAGGAGGAGGAGGAGGAGGAGGAGGAGGAGGAGGAGGAGGAGGGGGAGGGAGGAGGAGGGAGGAGGACCAGCAGGAGGAGGAGGCACTGTCGCGAGGCATCTCGGAGGCGCGCGTGCGATGCACGGCACGGCCCGTGGCAGTGTACGTCACGCGGCGCGGGGCGCGGCGCACGGCACGGCACCCGCCGTGGGGCACCAGTCGGGGCCGACGCCCCTCTCGCTTGGCATCGCTCGGACGTGTGCTTTTTTCCGTCGGCAAGGACCATCGAGGAGCGTCCTTGATCAATTGGCGAAACAACCACGCACGAAACCGGAAAAAAAACAGGGAATGGACGTCCGAGCGATGGCCAGCTCGAGAGATGGGCAATCGGGGCAAATCGGGTTGTGACAAAAGAATATCGCGCAGCCCGCCTCAGAGGCTCGTTTTGGGGGACCTTCCTGGAGCCCATCTGACGGATCTGTTCAACCCCAGTTCGACTGACGTTCGACTCAGGTTAGGCTAGGGTTCGACTCAGGGTCGGCCCAAGTCGACGGACGTTCGACGCAGCTTCGACGCACGAGTGGAGCGAGTGGCTCCAGGAAGGTCCCCAGAATGAGCATCCAGCAAATCGGGTTGGACAAAGATTGCACAGCCCGCCCCCCCCGCCACTCCGAGGATGCGAGTACGCTGTGCTGCGTTCCGTGCTCCCCCGCTGGGACCGGTGGCAGATCCCGCTGCTTCACGTGGAGCGATGCGCGCCACGAGCCAAAGGGGGGGAGGGATCTGAGCGGAGGAGGAGCAGGAGGAGGAGGATGGCGCAGGAAGATAATCATGTTAATGCTGCTGCTACTGATGATGGTGATACTGATGATGATGCTGATGGTGGTGATGCTGATGATGATGATGACGATGCTGATGCTGATGATGACGATGACGATGACGATGACGATGATGGTGATGGTGATGATGATGATGATGACGATGCTGCTGCTGCTGATGATAATGATGATGATGCTGGCGATGGTGATGTTCATGGTGATTGTGATTGTGGTTGTGGTGGTGATGATGGTTCTTCTGATGCTGGCCATGACGATGATGCTGATGATGCTGATGGTGATGCGGTTGCTGACTTTGATGTTGTTGACGATTGTGGTGATTACGATATGTCGTTGGTGGTGCTGAAGCTCACGATGGTGGTGATGCTGATATTACTGATGACGATGTTGATCATGAAACTGATGATGCTGGTGCTGATGATGAAACTGATGATGATGCTGATGCTGACGCTGCTGCTGATGCTGATGCTGATAATTGTGTTGATGCTGTTGCTTACATATGCTGATGCTGACGTTGCTCATGATGATGATTATGATGCTGATGGTGATGCTGATGCTGATGGTGATGGTGATGCCGATTCTGGTGGTGGTGATAACGACGACGATGTTGCTGATGCTGCTGATGATGAACATTCTGATGATGAAAACGATGATGCTGACGATGATGAAGCTGATGATGCTGATGATCATGCTGATGCTGATGATGCAGATGTTGATGCTGATGATGTTGCTGATGATGCTGCTGCTGATGGTGATGGTGATGGGTGTAACGATGATGACGATGCTGGTGCTGATGCTGATGCTGATGGTGTGGGTGATGTCTCTGATGATGATGAAGACGATGCTACTGATGATGATAATGAAGAAGCTGATGATGATACTGATGATGCTACTGATGCTGCTAATGATGCTGCTGCTGCTGATGATGATGATAATGATGATGCTGGTGATCATGCTGATGCTGATGCTGATGAAGCTGATGATGATGCTTATGATGCTGATGATGATAATGATGATGACGCTGATTCTGATGATGCTGCTGATGAGGATGCTGCTGCTGATGATGATATGATGATGCTGATGATGCTGATGGATGATGATGATGATGATGATGATGATGATGATGATGATGATCTGAGGATGATGATGATGATGCTGATGATGATGATGATGATGATTATGATGATGATGATGATGGATGATGATGATGATGCTGATGATGATGATGATGATGATGATGATGCTGCTGATGATGGTGCTGTGCTGATGATGATGATGATGATGATGTAATGCTGCTGCTGATGATGATGATGATGATGATGATGATGATGATGATGAGGAAGAGATGATGAGGATGACGAGGAGGAGAGGAGGACGAGGAGGAGGAGGAGGAGAGGAAATCAGAGAAGGAGGAGGAGGGAGGAGGAGGAGGAGAGGAGGAGGATGAGGAGGAGGAGGAGGAGGAAGAGGAGGATCAGGAGGAGTAGTAGTAGTAGTAGTAGTAGTAGTAGTAGTAGTAGGAGGAGGAGGAGGAGGAGGAGGAGGAGGAGGAGGAGGAGGAGGAGAGAGGAGGGGGAGGAGGAGGAGGCATTCTTGCATCGTAAGCGAAGTGACGACGGAGGGTTTTTGTCCGCCCCTTCCGGCCTCCAGGGGCCCTCGCCAGGTCTGGGGACCGTCAAGCAACGGACCCGGACGTGAATGCAGCCCTGGGGAAAGGGTCGGGGACTTCCCAGGATATATTCTGTTCAAACAACTCACGTTGCACGTCTGGGTCGGCTCTCCCGCCCACCACAGATTCGCTCCAAGTCGGGCCGATCCAGCTGTGGCGACGAGAGGCCTCCAGGAGGCGCACGGAGGCCGAACAACATGCTGGCAGGGCCGCCGTTGTCTGAGCCGGTCCTGGCCCGATCTGAGGGAGAGCCCCCCCGCGGCTTTTGCGCCATCTTTGGCCCGACTGGGGCCCTTCCCTGGCCACCCCGCCAGCCGTCAGAAAGCGGCCGGGCACAATCTGGCAGCTCAGGAGGACCCATCGGGCGTCTGGCCAAAGTCTGCTGAGGCTTCGTGGCCAGACTTCCGAGCCGCGTCCAACCGAGGCGACCAGATCCTCCAGGACCCCCTTCTTCGAGGGTCGTTGCGTGACCGCCCCCCCGCTCGGCGATGCAGACGCGGCCCATGATTAACTTTATAACGACATAGGTCTGTCAATGTAGTTACTTCCAACATGGGCAGTCATGTTCTTTGGTTCGGGCCGGGGGTATCACGCAACCAGAGGACTCGATTGTGAACCGGTTCCCCCCCCGTGACCCTTTTCTGGATCACAGCGAGGAGTGGCATGCGGACATGCCCTGGATCGGGACGCCCCAGGAGCGCAGGGGCATCCGCTGCCAGATCGAAGGCGCGCTGTCGGGTGGCCACCTCAGGAGCCTTTTCCAAAAGGCGTTGGGCTGACGTGGGTCGAATGGAATTTGAGAGGCTTTTTAAATTCGGATCTAGCCAGGACCCCGAGGAAGCGGACTCGGTTAGTGATAGGGCCCCGAAGCCCCAACAAATACCCTGGGAGTCTCTGGAGCGACCCAGGAGCGGCTCAAAGAACCGCCAAATGGGTGGCAGGCCCCACGACCTCAGGCCAAGAGAGCTCCAAACGGTCCCAGATGGCCTCAAGATGGCCCAAGATGCCCCCAACACGCCTCAAGAGGCCTCCAAGAGGTGTCCCAAGAGGGCCGCGCCCAAGAGATCTGGCATATCTGGCGGAGCCCTGATGGGGATCTGCCGGGACCTTCCCAGGTTACTTTTCGCTCCGGGACTCCGAGGGGCCGCCACGCGCGCGCGAACTAGAGTATGGTTACCTTGTTACTGGAGATCTTAGCATGCCTCCGGCCCGGTGGGCTGGCGAATTGGAGGTCTCTTGGGCCGCCTTTGGACGCTCCTAAGACTGACAAGCTGGGATCAGGTTTTTCTTGGATGATTCTGACCTGCTGGGCTGGCCCCCAGGGCCTCCAAGATGGCCCAAGAGGCCCCAGGAGGGCTCCGGCACGAACCTCTGGGATCGTTTCAGGGCACGTTGGATGCTGCTGCCCTCAACCATGCTCCCCGGGCCTCTGATCAAGTCACGCGGGGAACCCCTGGAGCGCCAGAGAGCGCCCACGAGCCCCAGCTGTAGGTCGGGGGTCGCGGCCCCTCGGGGAGTACCCGCAGCACTCTGCATCGAGGGCACTCCGCTCGGTGCCTTGGCATGGTGGCGCACTCCTGCCCAACCCCCGAAGACCGCCACACAGCCACCCCGACACCCGCCTGCCTCCTCGCCCTCCTCGTCCTTCTCGTCGTATTCGTCGTCGTCGTCCTCCTCCTCCTTCCTCCTCCTTCCTCCTCCTCCTCCTCTTCCTCGCCCCAGGCAGGCCTGCGCCAGAGCTAGTATACACTGAAAGCCAGCCGTGCTGCTGGTTCGCTTGTTCGGTGCTCGTCTCCAGCGCGCTGAACCTCAGACTTGATTAAGTTTCTCCTCAACTTTACCCTGAACATCCTCCTCCCTCCCGCTCCCTCCATCCCTCCTCCTCCTCCCTCCTCCCTCCTCCCCCCTCTCTCATTCTCCTTTCCTTCTCCCTCCCCTCCCCTCCCTCCCCCTCCCCTCCCCTCCCTCTCCCTCTCCTCCCTCCCCTCCCCTCCCCTCCTCTCCCCTCCCCTCCCCTTTCCCTCCTCCTCCTTCTCCTCCTCCTCCTCCTCCTCCTCCTCCACCTCCTCCTCCTCCTCCTTCTATCCTCCTATCGTCCCCCCTTGGGGTATGACGGCTTCCCCAGCCATGTATTCCTCGGTCTCCCCCTCGGCCTCCTCCCTCCCCTTCTCCCTCCCCCTCTGCCAGGACCTCGCACCCTCTCGGGGCGCGCGCGAGACCGACTTGGAATCTCTCGGGATCCCAGAACCTCGGCACCGCTTGGACGTGTGCAGTTGTCCTCGGCGAGGACCATCGGGAGGAGCCTTTCGGGCTGTCTTGCGAGCAAATGCACGAATGAAGCCGAAGAAGGCACGGGGAACGGACGTCCGAGCGATGGCAGGTAGCCCCCGCCCCCCCCTTGAGGGTTTCTCCAAAGGGCTTAGGCGACCCGTCCTCCTCCTCCTCCTCCTCCTCCTCCTCCTCCTCCTCCTCCTCCTCCCCCTCCTCCCCCTCCTCCTCCTCCTCCTACTCCTCCTCTTCCTCCTCCTCCCCTCCTCCTCCTCCTCCTCCTCCTCCTCCTCCTCCTCCTCCTCCTCCCCCTCCATCTTCTCCTCTCCCTCCTCCCCTTCCTCCTCCTCCTCCTCGTCCTCGTCCTCCTCCTCCTCCTCCTCCTCCTCCTCTTCCTCAGGTCGCCTACGGCCCCAGGGGAAACCGCGCACCCCCCCCCCCTCGGTGGCCCTCGGGGTGGCCCTCCCGACCGCGGCCCCGGCAAGCCTCGTGCAGCGCGGGGCCCGCCTGGTCTCGGAGACCGAGCGCTTCGTCCCGCTGGGGCCGGCGCCCGCTTACCCGCCCGACCCCGCGGCCAGGAGCCTCCTTGAGAGGCGGGGGGCAGTGCAAGCGGGGGTCAGCGAGCGTTGGGTCTTGCAGGATCCTACAGGGCCAGGGTCGCATTGGCCCGGGTTTGGGTGCAGGATGATGCAGGATCCTGCAGGATCCTTCGCGTTGGCCCGGGTTCGGGTCGGGAGCCTTTTTGAGGCGGGGGCAGTGCAAGCCGGGGTCAGCCAGTCTAGGCCTCCTAGATGGGCTCGGAGTAGATAGGGGTCGGAGGATCGCGCCGCATCGGCGATGCATCCACGATGCGGCTCGATGTGGGGGCCCGATTCTCTCCACGTCGACGGCGCCGATGTGTCGCCGACGTCGCCGGTGCATCGCCTGTGCATCGCCGATGCATCGCCGATGCATCGCTGCAGTATCCTGCAGGATCCTTCGCATTGACCCAGGTTGAAGTGCAGGATCTTGCACGATCCTGCAGGATTCCGCAAGGCCTGACCAGCCCGGGTCTGGATGGACCCGGGTCAGAAGATCCCCGACCACGGTCGGGAGATTTGGGAGGCGGGGGGCAGTGCAAGCGGGGGTGAGCCAGGGCGCTGGATCCTGTGGGATCCTGCAGCGTTGGGCCGCGATTGATGGGGGGCAATCAATGGGGGGGACCTTTGGGACCTTTGTGGCATCAAAGGGCGCCTATAGGGCCCGAAACGGGCGCCACCTTGCCCCCCCCGCCCCCCCATTTGTCGCCCCCCCATGCAAGTCGCGGCCAACAGGGCCAGGGGTGCACTGACCCGGGCCTGTGTGCAGGCCCCTGCAGGATCCTGCAACGCCCGACTGACAGGGGTTTGCATTGACCCGGGTCAGTACGCGTGAGTCGGGCCTGTCCCTCTACAGGAGGTATTCCTTGGATCGGAGGTTGGGGGGTGAGATCGCAGTGAAACGGAGGCCCCCCACCGGGAAATCGGCTGCGGTTTCGTGCTCGCGTCGTGCGTGCGGGCGAGGCGAAGCTGCGCGTGATCCTCCTGTAGCCAGGCCGACGTAGGAGCGAAAGTCCGTTTCCCGTCCGCTGGTGGCCGGGAGGTGTCCCAGTTGGGCCGGGCGGTGTCCTGGGTATCCCGGGTGTCAGTAGGAGCGAAGGTCCGTTTCCCGTCCGCCGGTGGCCGGGAGGTGCCCCAGTTGGGCCGGGCGGTGTCCCGGGTGTCCCGGGCGCCCCGGCGTCAACGCAGGTCCCGAATGTCATAATTCATTGTTTTCGGCGCCTGCGGCGGGCGTTCTTATCCAATCCAGCTTATCTTCTCCAATCCATCTTGTCCAATCAAATCCATATTATCTTATCCAACCGTTTCTGCGCCTGCGGCGGGCCAATCCAATCCATGCTATCTTATCAAATTCATTTTTTCCAATCCAGCCCATCTCTTATCTTATCCAATCCATCTTATCTTATCCAACCCATCTTGTCCCATCTTATCTTACCCCACCCAATCCAATCCATCCAACCCAATCCATCAGTTCATTTGTTTCTGCGCCTGCGGCGGGCCAATCCAATCCATCTTTTCTGATCCAATCCATCTCTTCCAATCCAACCCATCTTATCTTATCTTATCCAATCCATATTCTCCCATCCAATCCAATCCACCCAACCCAATCCATCAATTCATTTTTGTTGGCGCCTGAGCGCGATCGCGGCAGACTGCGAGAGAGAGAGAGAGGGCGAGAGAGAGAGAGACAGAGAGAAAGAGAGAGAGAGAGAGAGAGAGAGAGAGAGAGAGAGAGAAAAAGAGAGAGATGAGATCAAGGTGACAGGCTGGTGGTCAGTCAGGGAGGGCATTTGATCTCAATCCCCCCAAACCTCCTTATCGCCTGCAGGGCGGTCGCATAGGTATTTTTTCTGTATTTTCAAGGTTTTCATAGAAAATCGGCCTGTAGGGGGACATGCCCGACCTAACAGTACGTCCCCGACTCGCGGCCGCGGGCCTCCCCGGTCCGCCACCCCCCCTTTGGGACCCCTGCGCGGGGGCCTCGTCGGGTGGCGCCGGAAAGACGGCGTCCCAGACGTGCGCGCGTCATGCGAAGAGGTCAGTTCGGGTATGGCCAGGACCCCGGGTAAGGGGACCCGGTTAGTGGTAGGGCCCCGGAGCCCTTGAATCAGGTTTGCCATAGTTTGTGTTTTTCGGGTGACGGCAGTTCCGGTTAGTAGCAATGGGGCGGGGGGGCGCCCCCGGTACAGATCACTAAACCAGGTTCCACTAAACCCAGTTCTACCAACGCTCGATCAGTCACCGCCCACCAAACTACCCCAACCCAACCCGAAGGCCCCGATTTGCCCTCCATTTCCAGTCGGGGGGGGTCGGGGAACATTGAAAAAACACATGTGAAGCCCGTGCCCCCCCCCCCAACACGAAATTCGGGTCTTCGGGTTGGCTCGGGGTGGTCTGGTAGATAGTCAAGCAGGGCGGGAGGTGCCTCGTGGGTCTCGGCCTCTGGGTCGGGGGCCTGGCCCGGCTCCGGGACCGTCTCAGGGGCAACGATAGGGGGGATCGGCATAGGGGGTGCATCGACTCCCAATCACCCATCGCCGACTTGGGCCCGATAGCCCCAACCCGCCCAGGAAGGTGCGGATTCGCTATCGGGGGCCTATCGCCGATCAATCGGCGATGTATCGCAGGTCGATGCATCCCCTCCTATGCCCATCCCCCCCGGGGGCGGGGGGAGGGCCCCGGCCCAACCCCGGGACCGTCACCAAAACTACTTGACAGGAAAGGCCGTCCCTGGGAGCATAACCGAGCGCGTTCCGCTGCTCGCAAAGTGTCTCCTCGCATTTGCCCGAAACACGCCTGTATGTGATCGTTTTTTATTCATTGTTTTGCCGATCGGCGTGGGCCCTCGGACCCCTCCCTGGAGTGGACCTTGGCTGCTTTTGGGCGCGTGTTTCGAGCAGGCGGAGACTCCCCCAGAGGCCGCACTGCTGCAAACAGTCGCACTCAGCAGAGGTCTGACGCCAGACCCCCCCCTCCCCCCCTTTCCGCCCAATGTCGAAACGCCGAATAAGTTATCCAGTACGTGGAGCTCCATGTATGTGCATCTATTCGCATGGACTTGTTCGCCGTGAGTGTCTAGGCGCAAGAGCTTTCGAACATAAGCGGGCTTGAGTTGTGACGGTCTGGTCATGAATCTAGTTGCGAATTAATTGAAGTGTGAGTGAGTCTCAATAGTACGAGCGCGTCTTTGCGCATGAGTCTGTGGCCTCCTGGGGCCTCCTGAAACCTCCTGGGGCTTCCTGGGGCCTCCAGGAGCCTCTTGGGGCCTCGGGCTTCGAGTGGCCTCTTGAGGATTCCTGGAGCCTCGCGTGGCCTCCTGGGGCCTCCTTCAGCCTCCTTCGTGCCCCAGGGGAGGCCCAATCTATAGGAACACACGTAACACATTCAGAATTGCATATACAGGAGAAGGACAATCTATAGAAACATACGTATAGCATCAAGGATTCGTGCTCCAGGTGAGGCCCAATCTTTAAGAGCATACGTAAAACACATGGGATTGGAGCCACTCTTGTTGCCTTGTGAGACCTCCTGCTCCTGGGGCCTCTCGGGGCCTCCTGTTGCCTTCCGGGGCCTCCTGGCGCTTCCTGTGGCCTCCTGGGGCCTCCCGTGGCTTCCTGGGGCCTCCTGGAGCTTCCTGGGGCCTCCTGGAGCCTCTTGGGACATCCTGTGGCCTCTTGAGGCTTCCTGTGGCCTCCTAATGCCTCCTGGGACCTTATGTGGCCTCCTGTGGCCTCCTGGAGCCTCCTGTGGTATCCTAGGGGGATCTGTGCCCACGAGTCTGGCCACCCAAACAGGCAAACCGATCGAGACGTCCTCAAAATCTGGCCCCCCTGGGGGGCGAAACTGAGCGCCTCGCTCGAGACATCCTCCAAATCTGCTCCGAAAGCGGAGGATGTTGGGCAGGCAACAGGCAAACCGCTCGAGACATCCCCGCCATTTTGGCGCGAACGGAGGCCGTGCAATACCCTTGGCGGCCCCACCTTAGGAGGCGCCTCGCACGAGACATTCTCAAAATCTGTTCCGAAAACGGAGGATGCTGGGCATGCAAACAGGCAAACCGCTCGAGACATCCCCGCCATTTTGGCGCGAACGGAGGCCGTGCACTACCCCTGGCGGCCCCCCCTTAGGAGTGCTAAAACCAACAAGCCGCTCGAGACATCCTCATCATCTGCTCATCGTCATCATCATCATCATCATCATCATCATCATCATCATCATCATCATCATCATCATCATCATCATTATCATCATCATCATCATCATCATCATCATTATCATCATCATCATCATGATCATGATCATCATCATCATCATCATCATCATCATCAGACTCATCCATCATTCACCATCACCATCATACTCACATCATACTCTCACCAGACCATGGTCATCATCTTGACAATCATCATCATTGTCTAGTGCAGAGAGGGAGGAGGGGAGGGGAGGTCTCCTGCGCGGTCAGAGAATCATTCACTGCGTGGAGCTCCCCATATGTGCATTTGCATGGACTGTGTGTGAGTGAGTCTGAGTATGAGTATGATGAGTAAGAGTCTGAGCACAAGTGAGTTTGGGACATCCTCGCAATCTGCCCCTCCTGGGGTGCGAAAGCCAGTGAGTCTGAGTATGAGTATAGTGAGTGCGAGTCTAAGTCTGAATGGGTCTGAGTACGAGTGAGCTTGACTACGAGTGAATCTGAGGGTGGGTGGGTCTGAGTGTGAGTGATTCTGAGCGTGAGTAAATCTGAATGTGAGTGCGTCTGAGCATGAATATGATGGATATGAAACTGGCCCTGGTGGGTCTGAGTACGAGTGAGTCCGACTACGAATGAGTCTGAGGGTGGGTGGGTCTAAGTGTGAGTGAGTCTGAGTGTGCGTAAGTCTGGGTGTGAGTGAGTCTGCGTATGCGTATGATGAGTGCGAGTCTGAGTTTGAGTGAGCCTGAGCACGAGTGAGTTTGAGCATAAG